ACAGAGTAAGAGCAAGAGCACTTGTTAGATGCTGACCTTGCTTGGGCTTTTATCTAATTAAGTGATCACGACCACCTCATGGAAGTAGCCAGAACGACTGCCGGCAAATAGATGGGGAAGAGGCAAAGTGACTTCCCCCAATTCCCTAATTCATTTTCACTACCCCCACAGCATGATCGCATTATGTGTGTGTGAGGCAGAGATTTCCAGTATTTAGAGCTGGTGAAATGGCGTGGGAATTACATAATGGTTCCATATCATTAAAGATGTCTAAGCAAATGCTTGATGACTAAGGCCAAAGATACTGAAAAGGTGATTTATTCATGCCTTTTTGGAGAGTAGAAATGGGTCATCTATGCAGGCACCTTCCAACTTTAAAATTCTGAGTTTCAACACTTTGGGGGTAGAATATGCACTTTGGATATATTAATATACTTTTTCCTCTGTATTTTTTCCTTTTGCTTCCATTCCATTCCCTTTCCCCATCCAGACATATATTCTGTTCTGGGGACATGCCCTTTTTAAAAGGGGGGATGTGGTGGCGATTTGGCAGTTGGGTCACAGAAAGAACATGTTATTCTTTCTAGTTATTGGGTCTAATTTTTGATTAAGCTTACTAATAAAATTGTGTTACATTCCTTTGAAGCAAATCTGTTAAGACTAGAAGAGAAAGAAATTACATCTCCACTCCCCGCCCCCCAATACCTAAGCACCAGGCAAAACCCAAACCCCTAAGTGTAGGAGATTTAGGGCTGAGACTGATTTAAGATTAATATTCTGTTACCGCTTCAGGATGGGGACTGTGGATAGAAATAAAGCTGACTTTCTGAAAAAAAAAAATAAAGTTCTATTTCTTACATGCGTAAGCGTGTGAACAGAGACCTGTTTTAAGCTTGAGAGGTGCAGGGTGTGTCGCCTGAGCAGCGACAGAAAGTGGCTGCAAATCTGACGCGTTTGGTCCTCTGCCGCCCCCTTGTGGACGAGGTGGGAATAGCAGCTCAAGGGCGGCGTCTCAGAGCTGGTGGCATCTGCAGGCTGCCGGGGTCCGTAGGCTGGTGGGGTCCTGCCACTGATGAGAGGGAGTCGGGAACTGTCGCTGTCCCCACCAGGATGGCGTTCCCGGGAGAGAGGTACAGAACTCTTTCAAACTGTCAATGACTTCAAGACACTCTTTGCTTCCCCCCTCTTTATTTTTCCTCGAGACACCCGCGCGCAGTGAGCGGTGACCGTGTGACCCCCCGTCCAGCGCCCCTGACGTCTGGGCGCGAGCAGCCCCCGAGGGCGCGGTGCCAGCCCTCCCGGCCCCGCTCGCTCTGCGGGTCGTCGCTCTGGCTCCGCAGCTCTGCGCGCCGTGTGTCTGTCTGTCGCCGTGTGCGTCTGTCGCCGGGGCGGTCTCCACGCCACCCTGCCCTGCACGCCCGGCACGGGCACAGCACAGAGGCGACCCTTGCGTTTCGGCAAACAAGAGACGGGAGCGCTCGGGCACCAAGAGGGGAAGGGACCGCGCGTCCCTGGGAGCCCCTGGCTGGGGCGCAGCGGTGCCCGAACCCCATCTTCTGCCCACACCCCGCCGCCTCGGCCTCTGGTCTGCCGCCCACCACGCTCTGCCCACTGCCCCCAGCCCCGGGCCCAGGCCTCCCTCTCCCGCCACCACGGGAGGATGGGCCATCTGGGCCTCCCGCCACCTGCCACCGGGACCTCCTCTCCCCAGCTGGGAGCCGGGGACCCCCCGCGGGCCTGGCCTGGCCTCCCGCGCCCTCCGCTCAGGCGTCCAGACCCTGCCGCAGCCTGCGGTCCAGGGCCAGGAGCTGCCGCAGGAAGCCCCGGTTGGGGATGATGCCTCTGTGGTCCTTGACCTTCTTGATGGCCTCGACGAGGGAGAGGCGGTGGTACAGCATGAGGTAGGCCAGCACCAGCGTGGCCGAGCGGCTCACCCCCACGGCGCAGTGCACCAGGATCCTCCCTGTGGGGAGAGACAGCGGCACGCGCTGGGCTGGGGACGGCCGGAGGCCGTAGGGTGAGCGGCCAGCTGGGGGGAGAGGCCTGCCAGAGTGACACGCAGAGCAGCGTCCCCAAGCCTGAAGAGGGCTCAGGCTGGGGACCCCCCGCCGCCGTGCGCCCGGCTGCATGCAGAGCACCCCGGCGGCAGCCCTGGCCCTCCCAGGCCCCTGCCCCTTCCATCTGGCTGCTTCTCTCAACCACCGAATATGTTTTTATTTACATATGTATTTTTTTCTGATCACCAAGGCATTCTTACCATGCCCAAGGTAAAAATAATTGGAAAGTATAGAAATATGTTTAAACAAACAAAAAAAACACCTAAAATTGAACAGCCATATCGCCCGTAACCTTCCAGCCAGGTGCCACCTGCCACTCTGAGCGGTTTGGATGATTTCCTTCTTGCCTTTTTATGTATGGCCTTGGAAAAAAATGCCCCTGGTAGTACCTCTCTCCCCTTCACGTGGCCTCCCGAGCAGATGTCATGCCACTGCCCCTGTCGCCGAGCCCGCCTTGGCTCCTACCTCCAGGCTGGCTCAGCGCCCGGTGGATGAAGTCGGCCGCCGTCTGGAAGTGGACGCTCATGTCGAAGGCGGGCGAGTCGTGCGCCTCCACGCCCAGGTAGCGGATGCCCAGCCCCTCGTAGGCCTCGGGCGTGCCCCGCCACCTGCTGTGCGAGGCGTTGAGGACGTGGGTGATGCCCAGGCGGCGGAGCTCCCGGCGGTTGTTAGCGATGTCCCTGCAGGGCAGAGGGGCGGGGAGGGCGGGAGGCGGGAGTAGGTGACAGCTCCCTGTCCCGACCCGTCAGCTGCCTGGGTACAGGTCATGGCCATGGCTCCAGGCCTCTCCTTTGCTGACTAATGACCAGAAAGGAAGAACCGAGATGGGTCACGACTTGACGCCCTGTCCCGTGAGCTGTGCCGGAGAACACTGGGGACAGTTTGCCTGGAGAGGACTAAGGGGCGGGAAATAATCATCGTACAACACCCAGAGGGTGCTCCGAGGAAGAGGGATGTTCCCTCATCTGTAGGGCCCCAAAGGGTAGGACTAGGGTCAAAGGATTGAAGCTCCAGGAATGGATTTCAGTTTCGTGTGAGGAAGTTCGTGCTGACAGGCCGATCTAGCAGAGGGAAGGTTGGAGCCCCGGGACAGAGTGATTGTCCCGTCATGGGGGATGGGGACGTTCAAGGAGAGGAAGGAGACCCACGGGCAGGCCTGGATGTTCC